GGGGGGGGGGGGACTTGGGATTATAGCCTCTGTAGACCATTGACATGCACAGAAACCTATATAACACACTACAGGAAAGGGAAAACTTCAAAAAGCATAGGGCCTCTTCAAAAAATAAAGACATATAATTTACTCTAGTACTTACAATAACGCTAAATAGTACATAATATGGTATTTTAACAATATTATTACTACCAGTACTGTCATTGTCCGATTATATCTTTATGTTTTTGTTGTCGCTAGTTTGGCAATGAATAGTTGGCTAATTGATTACTCTAACTACAGAAAAACATCTTCACAACAAAGTAAAATTATTATTTGTTGAAGCAATTCTTCATGCAAAATAGGCTAAAAAATAATTGCTATATGGAAATGTCCTGCTGTAAATAATGCTGTGTTGGTTGGGACTCTGGGTCAGTCAAACTTTCTGCAACTTTTTCTTTGAGCCGCTTCAACAGTAGCCTAACTTGATTTTCCTGGCAGTGCACCACAGAGGAATACCCGGCAAAAAACAGTCAGGGTGCTATTTAATTATGGCTGATAACTGTTGGTGGTATCCCACCCCCTGTGATTGCACACACAAATTAAATCACAATTCATAAATACTCCAACTCAGAGGGAACCCGGTCTGACTTTTAAGCCTTCCAAGTGAAGTGGCGGATTGTGCCGTAGCTCGCTGAAGATATTTTTTTGAAAAGATAATTGTGAGTGTTCTTGAGCAGACGGCTTTAGAGGAGCCTGGTAAACAATTTGGCAACGTTGAGCACTGTATCACACTCACTTTACCGCGAGCGGCAAATTGAAACAAGCCAAACTGCTACACAGCACTAATGCAGATTCGGGCGGCTGCATCTTTGTATTCAGCGGGGAGCAACATGAAAGATTGAAGCTTTTAATTGCTTTCTCCACATCACGGGACGATTATTGTTGTGTTCTTTACAAACGTGCCAGTGAGTGCGGCTTGGCTGTACTGCGCTGCCAGCGAGAGAGGGAAGGAGGGAAGAAAGGGGGCCCAGCGATAACAGGAACTGGAGAGTGTTTCAGGAAGACTTCTAGGGGCCCATAGGGACCCAAGCCGCACTAGTCTAGCACTCCAAAACAACAACCTTTTAACTCCAATTACAAACCTGAGGGGGCAGAAAAAAAAGGTAAGGTATGGCAGCAAGACAAAATTACCCTTTTCCCAAGTGTCCCCTTAAAAAGAGGCAATGTCATAACGGCAGGACAAGAAAAAAAGAACACTGTCTCAGACATTTTCTCCTGTCAGTTCGCAGACCTTTCACAGGTACGGGTTACCGGTTTACCTTGGCTAGCATGGCTAAGTGCTGGTTCTGCACGATGGCTGTTCTGTAGGTGGCCAGGCCGCCCTCCTCCAGACCGGGAAACAAGTAGTACAAGTGGACACTGTGGATGGAGACATTAAAAGAAAAAAGAAAAGTTCAAGTACAAGTCACTTGATGTCAGATTTAACGGTTTGGAGACATTTTAAGTTAGAGAGCAGGAGAGCTACAGCTTAAAGCAAGTTCGATTTGGGCGTTTTAAAACACTTTCTTGCTGCCATTCATCATAGAGTCAAGTGTAAGACAACTTTACACAGAAATGTATTGTGTAAAGTGGCCAAATCGAACACAAATGAGAATTTCCAATGAAGAAAGGTGTTGTACAACTTTCCCTAATTAATTATGTGGTAAGATAAAAACGGTTACTAGATTTATTTATTTTTTTAATCGCCTCATCGTGGATATACCAATTTTGACAAGACCTCCTAATTAATTTTCCAGATATTGAAGCCTTTCCAGGTCTGTGTTGGATCCCAGAGAGGTCCGCGGACGCTTCAGCGGTTCCACAGCTGGGTTCCGGGCGAGCAAGTTCCATTTTCATTACGGTCCAGCGTCTCCCTAACCGCGGCGTATCATTTGATTTCATTTGAATTAAAGCAGGCCATTTAATTCAGTCATTTCTAATCAATGCAAAGAGAGGAAAGCAGGTGGTGCTCTGTTTTCCAAATTCATGACAGGTATATTTGTCAGGCTATTGTGGTGTTATTGTGAAAACAAAGCACTTGGAATTAATAAAAAACACTTGTGTGCAATGAAAAATAATTATAGCAGAGATTCTGGTTCGCTGGATGAAGTGTCAGTCACACAGAGTGGCTAACTGGGCTACATGGTTCTCTTCATTTAGGAGAACATTGTGTATTTTAATCAGAAGATGTTGTTTCAAAGAGAAAAAGGCCTTCCTTTTTTTTTTTTAAAGCGGTGAACTATCGACCTCACTGAGCGTGCCGTACATCAAAGCTTCATTAAGTGGACATGAAAGCTGGATCTCTTTCTCTTAACTCTGAAACTTATTCATTCACAAGTTCAGCAGCAGTGGTTCTAAATCTGATGGGAGAAAAATGCGAAAAAATTCAAGTGATATTAACTCAAAACAATTTATTCTTAATACTATTCCAAAGATGACTTCTGGTTTGCCCGTCAGGCTTTCATCTTTAATAATCATTACTAATTTAAAAATGCACCTGAACTTATGTACTCCTAATTAAATGTTAACTTTTCCAGAAGAAGGAACACAAATATTGTCAGTGGACTTTCTTTTCCTTTTTTTAAACAGGCCGTAACCCCTTCTGTCCGACACTTACTCCCTGTGTTAGGGCTATTTAAATGTGCAAAATATTCTGTTGGCTGGAAAGCAGAGGCACAGATAGCCTCTGAGGACCGTGCTCACTGGAGGTGCACAAGGCAGTTGGCTGGATCTGCTGTACCCATTTAACTGGACAAGAAGCTGATAAATAATTCAGAGGGCCAGAGCGTAGGCCAAGCATGTCTCGTCAGACGCTAACAATCAAAGAAGGGAGGCAGAGGAAGGCAAAACATGGCTAGAGATAACAAGAGAAACAGAGGACAACCACCTTTTTTGTAACACTGTTCCTGCTGAAAGGAGCGGGAGCAGTGTCCTGTGTAACTCAGTGACAAAATTCATTCAGGCTGTGAAGTGTTGGCATACAAGGCTACAAATGAGTTGTTTATAGTAGAAGATATGCTGTCTGGCAAAAGGAAGTCAGATCAAATACATATGGTTAAGTAGTGGAGGAAGTTATGGTTTAATGGTGGGAATGTTTAGACAGTGGGTGTTTCTCAATGTCGAGGACGCTTCCTTGGTAGCACATGTGCCTCAGTTGCTTCAGAAGCGAGGCAAGAATCCTTCCTAGCCTCGGAAAACGAAGAACGGTGGAACAGGTGTGCAGGTGTGTGTCATATGAGAGGCCCCGCCTTAAATGGAGCGCGATTTCCGCCAAAGATTTGGAAATTGGTCCGTGCGCAAAGCATTGTGGGGATTTTAAAACTGCGGAGGATACATGTGCAGGCTCGAAATGTCCCGCAACGAAGGACACCGGCCTCGGTAGAATTCCAAGCATCCTGGCCATTGGAACAGTCGTTCGGCGGGTCTCGATGACGTAGCATCCTTGAAATAGTGGCTCTGGAGCAGCCTTCCCCGACATTGAGAAACACCCTGTGTCTAAGAGAATTTATGGGTAGGATTGGTTGGCTTGTTTTGCTTTCTTTTATATGAAGGGACTGTTAGCTGTGTTCTGGAAACATAACTTATTTATCCACTTGTGGTTGCTCTGTTCCTACAATTTGAGATTGATTTCAAATATGTTGGGACTCTCTTTATTACTTTATTAAATATAAGACAAACTTGTTGATGAATAATTTATNGTTGTAGTCGGCTTCAATTAGCGCATGTGTCTATCAAAGATGCGGAGAGCGCTTTCTCACCTGGTGAGGAACTCGACTACGGCATCACCCAGGAACTCCAGTCTCTCGTTGTGATTGATCCTGGGGGTGAGGAGGAGACGGGACGGGGGGAGGAAAGTTGAAAAAGTAGTGTGACAGATGGTCTAACACACATCAGAGAATAACAGTAGCTCACGTTCAATCATAAGTAGCCGTTGCTCTTAAAATGAGCTCATTTCATTTCCCATGTGATGTCCATTCTCTCACAGTTCAAGTTAATTTTCTTGTCAGCAGGCCCGCTGGGTGTATTAATCACAATGATTGTCCCTTTGATTGCCCCTGTGGTCAGTGGTAGCGTGAACAGATATGTGGCTGCAGGAGGCCTACCTGGAGGGGGAGGGGTCATCCTGCCCCAGCCGAGACATGATGTTAATCAATGTGTTGATTCCTGGAAGAAAAATCCCCGGGGAGAGGTGAGGGATAGAGTGGTCATTTGACAGTAAAAATAGAAACAAGGCAGGGAAGAATTGGCATGAAAAGGAAGAGGGACCCACCTTTCTTCCTCATGTACATGTGGTGGACCTTCCTGTCTCCGTACTTCGGCTGGCGGATGCCACAGTTGGAGAGGGAGTTGCGGGCGTGATCAGGATTCATACCGAAGTTCAGGTGGTGACTGGGGTGAGTCATGGCGAGCTGGAGGAGAGAGAAGAGAGTTGCAAAGAGGGGTGAGGTGACACTTTTCAAAGAAGGTGAAAGGGCCAGAACAGGGTCGCGATGGAAAAGTCCCTTCTGCTTACAAATGCACTCAATGGATTGAAATGGCCTGGAAGTATTAGCCAACTGGCAGCCATGATAAGATCTGTTAGAATCCTCTAAATTACAGGAAAGGAGCTTCGATGCTTCCTTTATTGTATCCTTTAGCATAGGATACTGGGATCATCCTTTACAAAAGGAAAGAAGAGAATGCTTCTCAAAGTCTGTGCGGCTGCAACATTTAAAATTGCATAATTCAACAGTTTACCGAGGACGTGATTGATAAGTGGGTTCGTATGTGTATGCGAACGGCAAATCATCAATATAATAATCAATAACATTAGCTGTTGCATCAGGATGGCGTCACCCAGTTCAGTCTCTTTTCCTAAGTCCTGATGAATAGTCCTATAGTCCTAATAGCCCATGGTGTTTTTCCACTGAGGTTGAGGAAAAGTGGTTAGGAAACGACTCGAGGGCCCGATTTGTTTTGAAAAAGTCAACCGCAACCAGATTCTTAATTTGCATGAATACCCTCAACAGAGCCTGATGCGTTCCATTTCCTCGTTTTGTCTAATGACTAATTACAAACGGTAACACAGTTCAAAGCAAATCAGTCTAATAATGTCGGATCAGAAATCGCTCGAAGGAACAGAAGAGAGGGAGTGGTGCTTAGGTGAGGACACAGGAAGAGAAAGCTCCCTCATGCCTCTTCGTCACAGTCAGGTTGTCTATATGAAAATTAATAACTTTAACTTTCAAACCTGTAAAGACAGGCAAAAGTGGGAAATAAGCCTGAAGGAAACGTATTAGTCGACATTCAGTTTTGTTTGAAAAGGACGAAAAACTGCTGTGCCTAGAAAGACTGCCGCGGCTGAACATCTCAAATTCACTCGGGGAATAAAAAGGCAAAAGATAGGGCTCAGTAGGATATGTCAAGCCTTTATCAATCTTACATTAGTAGAATGTTAATCTCAGCCAAAAAAACACGAAAGAAAACTCCGACTACTCTCCCCCCGGGGCTTGCTTTTCAAAATGCTTGTCTCCTTTCAGCCAACTTCAAATCAATTTCAAGCTCCAATGAGATATATATGTAAAAGTTAACAGAGAGGTTTCAATATTTATAGTTGCTCAAGAGGCCTTCAGCTTTGTTGCCTTGAACACCGAGGCGACAGATTCAACAGCAATTGTATTTTTTTCTGTGGTTAAGAAGAAAGAAAGCGAGTTATTTGACATGACACAAAAATAAATCTAGCAATTCTCAGCGCCGTGTTGACAGTTTGATACAAATAAATAAAAACAACACCAAATGTCTATTTCCACATTCAACTCCCGTTGTGCGAATGTCAGACAGAAGCCGATGACCACCTACTACACAGCCTCAACTACAGATTTGGGTACTCGACAGGAATCCCATCAAAAATAACACACTCGGTAAACACCGCAGGTCCATCACAGTTACGGACAACATTCAACAACGGTATTGGCTTTTAAGTTGAATCTGTGGGGCGGATTGACGTCTGCAACTGTTCCTGTCAACATAATGACTGCGTAACGTATCGGAGGGATTTGGATTTAGTGATCACTGCCTCAGCTGCTGCTCAACTGCCTTTGGCTAAATGGGAGTAAACATCATCAGTCAGTTGGGAGCGGCAGACTTGAGTGGAAAGCGTGTTCCTGAACCCACATGCGGAGAAACTGATGGGCAAACAGAAAAGCTCTTTATCACCGTGCACTGCATTATTGGATATGCACAGGTAGATGAAGACTCGGGGGTAAAGAAAAGAGACTGGAATCAAATATTGAAATATCAGATTTGTTTATGTTAAAGCAAAATCGCATAAGTTTGTTTGTAGTTGCATTGGCCTTACAGTAGTATTTTGAGTTCTTAGCGCATAATCCATTTGTTTGAATTCATGAAGACTTTTCTTGATTCTTTGTTCATCGTGTAAGCAAGCGAGAAAAACAAAGTTGTGGGTGAATGTTCCCTTTAACAGCTGGGTGTGCAGCCCTTATGTAACATTGCTATAAAAGGCCATCCCCTAGAATTGTTATGTAATATTTAACATTTGGAATATTCAAACATGCTCAGAAATATAAGCACATGTTAAAGCCTGAAAAATGCATGAAATAGACGGGCGTCCCAATCCTATGGCTGGGTATGAATAACATTCTGAATAACGAAAAAGCATAAAAGACCGTGGCACTCAGTGAAGAGCCTCAATGGTGGGGGCACGCAAACAAAAGCATGCGAGCCGGGGCCGAGGACTTGTACGGATAAATTATTGAGATCTTCTGTGATGCCTCTCATCCTGTCAGCATGGGTCAAAAGTGAGGGACGGGGATGGAGCAACAGGGAGGAGGGTGATTACGAGGGTCTGGTGGATGTTGGGATGCGGGAGCATGTGGCGACCATGAACACATGTCTCTTCATCTCCAACCCACCTGCCCCTACCCATGTTTTAAATGTTAAATGTTTAACAGCGAGGCTCTCAGAAGAGGAGCTTCAAAGGGCCGCGGCACCACTGGAGCCAGGCGGGTATGGGGGGGGGGTCTGAGTGCAGAGGCTCCCGCTCTCTGCCTGTCTTTTTTGGAAGTTGCCCCATGCAAAGATCACATTGCCATTCTGTACTGAAATAGCAGGTGTGTGGCTGCACAGAGAATCGAGTGATGTCCAATGGATTAACTGACTGAATGTACACAGTGATCATACACTTCGGACATGTGTTCTCCCTGCGTGTTTGATTCCCAGATATGATTTCATTAAATTACAGTGCGAGCTGGAAACAAGCATTGATTTCTGTGCAGACCCACAAAACTCTGTTTCCCGAATGATCTGCTGCTTTCATCTCTTCGAAGCAAAATATAGCTTGCCTTTAATGGGAGTACAGCTCATTAACCTTCAAAGCCAGAACAAAAAATCCCATTCTGAAATAGCTCTTCCACTGCCCCAAACCAAGAATGACAGCCTGTTCCTCTGCAGAAATACCCCTTTAAGTGTAACCCACAGTATGTCTCATTAACACTCAGTGTGTGTTAAATGTGTCAAAATAGAAATGTCAAAACATGTGCAACACTTTAGACTTGTACAAGGTATACTCTGTTTAGCGATTAACACTCTTTGATTCATGTTAATTCCAGGGAGCTGCAGAAGTGCCTGTTGTTATTTTATTTAGATAATATTATGTAATGCAATCAAGCAATACAAATAAGTGGATCAGTCTTAAGGTCTCTTTTGAAAATGTAATATTGCTTCTTTATAAAAAGCTATAGTATTTCTTACACAATTTATTTTTTACTCTATCAAGGAATAGTCCATAGAATATGTGATTACTAAAATATTTGTTAGCTGCAGCTCTTCTCATAACCTGCCACAGGAAAACATTCCTCTGATTAAATATGATCATGTCATCAGAAAAGGGGAAATGGGATGTGATGGCAGATCTGAAATCAGTTTGACTCAGAGAGGGCTTTTTGAAGAAGCACCGTCGCACTCATGCAGTCCTGTCCAAACCTATCTGGGCACAGAGTGTGTGTTCTGTGGGACATTAGTCGCTGTGTGTGTGTGTGTAGTATACGAGGAATGTACTGTAAGCCAAGCAATGATGGCTCCCTCCTTGGGTCATTTCAGTCCCAGAAGTGGTGAACTGCTGACAGCCTTGGCTTTATGAACACACACACACAAACATATATACACACACACACACACACACACACACACACACAAACATATATACAAACACACACACACACACACACACACAAACATATATACACACACACACAAACAGCAGTGTCATGGTGTTCACACTTAAGTGGATAGAATTGCGATGGAGACAGACAGCCAGGTAACACACTGCAGAGGACTGTATGGGAGCTGTCATGATCAAACTGATTGTTTTTCTTTTGTTTGTCTCTTTTGAAAGATGAAGGAATTGAATGAGAGTAGAGGGGGGGGACAGACCCATTAACTTCTCTCGAGAGGCGGCAGATTTCAGGCTCAAATTGGCGTCTCTTCGATGAAAGCCACGCAGCCTGTCGTCCGTCGGGTGGCCTCGCGGCGGGTCAGCGTTCCCTTTTTAACGCTCGTAATGATGGGTCGTCATTATACAAACGACAAAAAGGTCAATCTCCGATCGATACGTGCGAACACGCGCAGACACACACGGAGCATTGAGCGAATCTTAATGCATCCTTCTCCTTTTTAACTATGTATAGGCTACAACACATTGATTTCTAATGTATCAGGTTATGACAGCTCTTCGATATTGTTGGAGGCGGCCGGGGGGCTTGCTACAGCAACACACAGCTTGAGGCTGCAGACCCGACAGGGGAGAAGCTGGCGTTACGGAGGAGGCTGTTGTTGTCCTGACTACTGTCACCGCGGCTCACAGCGGGCCCGAGCGGCTCGTTGCAGAGATGTGACTCAGGCCGGTGTGTGGGTTACCTTAGTTGACTTCTGAGCTCCGGTTTCCACCTGAACTATCCCTGCAGAGGTGGACTGGGCACGGTAATGAGGCAAACGCTGGATCTCTGCACAAAACTTTTTTTTTTATCATGCTATCTAACTGGCTGTACATTGCACCCTGTCTGAGAGAACCCCAGGGATTTGGCTACCTATATCCTGTTAGTGATCAACTATGACAGCCTTTAAATAGTGCAGCTTGGGGTCGCACTTTGTGAGTAAGGAGCTGTCGTGACTGTGCCTTACCTGAAGGAGGCAGCGCTCCTTGAAGACGTAGCCGATCAGCTCATCCAGGTGCATCAGACACTGGTGGTACCGGATGTGATGGGTGAGAACAGGCAGCATCATGGCGTGCTGTAGGGGACAGAGACATCTATCAGAAAAAAGTGCGAGTGAGAAGGTAGCAAAGGGAGACACAATTGGAAAGGGGAAAAAAACAGGAAGAGATAGAGAATAGGAATCATGACTTATATGAGAGATGTGCTTGCGGAGCGTGTTTTGAGAGAAAGTGTGATGAAGAGATTGAAAGAAAGGGAGAGGGCTTGATGGAGGGAAAAGGCGGGGAGAAATCAATCAGCCGGTCATTATTTATTAAGTGGTGCTCTGCAAGAGAGAGATGAAATAATCAAAAACCCAATCGCAGCGCTGTGAGAGGGAATGACAGAAAGGAGGGAAATTCACATTTGGACAGGACAGTGAAATCGAAGACCATTTCGACATGTTGACACTCTTACATTCGGACACACACTGACAGCCCCCTCTGACCCTCATGTATTAAAGAGGGGAGGGGGAAAGTTTCAGCGCAACAAAGTGAAAGAAAAAGTGAAAATGGAGGGGGAGGAGGAGCGCGTATCGACGGGGGATTGTGAGAAGGAACAGCAACAGGCTAATTTGCTGACCACTGACTATTCTCACTGACAGTCAGAGAGCCAATCTACAGAACCATTAGACAGAACCATTAGTGGGGGGGGGGGGGGCTTATCAAGTCGGGTGTAAGTGGTGGCTGAGGAATTGTAGCAAAGGCTGGTGTACACACATTAACCCCGTGCCACCACATGAGAGCCATGCATGTTTTAATTAGTGCTGCTGCTGGGGGGGGAGGGGGCCCGGGGCCTGGCGGCTACGAGCAGCATTGCCACGGAGCCCCCGGGCCGTCACCAGGGCCGCGGTAACACACTCCCCAGGCCTTGTTAAGCAGCCAATTAACAGAGCCAGGCCCTGGTCGTGTCTAGAGCTCCTGACCTGTTCTGATGACTGTCGGGGTGTGTGTGTGTGTGTGTGTGTGTGTGTGTGTGTGTGTTAGAGAGGAGAAGTGGGGGCTGTTAGAGTTGATACTCTGCTAATTAAAAGGTGGGAAATGTCTAATTTACTGTCACGGATGATGTTTGGGCCGTTTGGACACCGGCCCAGCGGAGCAGTGGTCTGACTTTGCTTTTCCCCTGGCTGAAATATATGCGAAATGAATTTTAAAAAGTGCACTTTCAATCACTGGATCATGATTTAATTAACTGGAATGTGATCAAATGGTCTCGACTTATATATAATCATATTCATTTGTTAATCACAGGATAGAAACATTTGAAAAGGGTTAGGCAATATGACCAAAAATATATATCACATTGTATACAAATATTTAAAATATATAATTGTATAACACGGTATAGACATACAGTATATAAAACTTCACTAACTGCTATGTAAATTATATTTTAAAAAATTCACATTTGAACTGTCATACAAGCAACTTGAGTAAAATACAAGTATTCAAACAAGGCTTTCAATACTCCTACTTAATGTTAAAGACCGTTATAGGAAAATATAAATGTTTTATATTCAACAATACCAATTAAAATGTGCATTAAGGACTGTATCCACTTCCTACTTACCTGCTGCCATCGATACAAATGTAGAGAGTTGTATTTACCCATGTACTGTGTTGATTATGTGATATAAAAGTAGGCTGATTAACGTAACGAGTGAGTGATGAATCAATGCACCGCACTGTGGCAGAAAGAGAGAGCTGCCCACACTTATTTTCTCTGATGTAGAAAGGAAAACAAGCTGCCTTCCCTTGAAATGTAAAATCGACTGATCGCCTTCAGATGTGATCAGGGACAAAGCAGTGAAAAAAGAAAAAAAAGATTTAATTGTAACTTTTTTTTCCTTATACATTGATGAATAAATAAATCCATTGTGCTTCCCGGTCCTTGACAGAGCCTTTCAAGTGAAACAACCTCGGTGTGTCCGAGTGAAGTCAGTAACGAGGGGGCTGGTTCTGTTCGAATAGAGATCCTGCTTTTGAGAATCGGGAAACTATGGGTCAGTTTAGCCGTTGTATCTCGTCCGTGTCACACGTTGTGCAGAGTGCATCACCGAAGTTCGAACTGAAATTATTCATGAACCAATTAGTCGTAGCGGTGCAGCTTGAAGCAAATATAATTGGGCGGCAATTATGGATCGGATCCTCCGTTGCTAGACCTTGCTGTAAGAGAGGTCTGGTTTGCGGGGATAGAACTTCCCGTCATTCCTCTCCAAATGTGAAATCAGCTGTAGGGTATCCTTGCTGCGCGTAGGGGTGGGAATTATTTTAGAGGGAAAAAGATGATGGCAATTATTTTTGCTGAGAAGCAGGCAGAAAATATTGGAAAAGACAGTAAATAAAAGAATTATGAACTAAAGCACACTTTTACTGACAAATTCATGGACAAATGCAGCTGCGTGTGTTCCAGTGGGCAAAGCATGGCACTAACACATTCAGGGTTATGGTTCAAGTCTCATTAGGCCCGCCTTTATAACTCTGATCTGCACATGTTGTCCCACTTCCCTGGAGAGACCATATGGAGATGAAATCCCATCGTGCTTTATGTGGCTGCTGTAAATAAGAGCATGAGGAGAGATAACGGTACATTCACACTCGACAGATCAGAGTGGTTGTGAAGTATAAATAAAATGTCACGTCAGACACATCACTTGATGAAGGGGTATGGCTTCCGAGGCTCTGTGGGAGTCCACTCTCTTTACACAGATTTTGACACTTTAAACGGAGAAGTGACGCAATGCGCAGAAAGATCAGAAGACGAGTCCCTGACTGGCCATAAGCACTGGTGTGTGTCCGTCTGAGTGGAAGTTCTCCATGTATGTGACAAGGATAATTGCGGTGTATTACAAAGTTATTACATGTTCAACAAGGACTTTGAGGATATTCAAACCTCAAAGTGTGTGCACCAAAAAAAGACTTTGCTAATTGTCCTTTGCTGCCCACAAAAACAAGGATGTAAGGAGGCAGAATTGTCCATTAAACACGACCACAGCACTTAGTGTTGACGTGCCCTGAAGTGGCTCCGTTGGTTTCAGAATTGATTTTAATATTTTATTGATAACTCCAAGGGCTGTTCATGGTCTGGCTGCTGTTTAGATTGCCGAGACTCTTTTCCTGCAGATACAGAGCCTGGTGTAAGATTCAGTGCTAATAGCCGTAGCAGAGTGCAGATTGGTGTCAGTAGGTGAGCGGGCATTTGCAACGAGAGCACATTGGATCCATTTATTGCTCACAATTTTAAAAATGATTTGGTAATGAAACTTACACTGTCCTACAACATCGATGTCTTGGAAACCACAATGGTAAAAAAAGATGGTATTAATCAACCAATGTTTTTTAATTCCACTTATCATACACCATCTATTAGCTCAATTAATATTATTGTTTATGTTTCTTTTTTAAACCCCTTTTTTTACACTGCTTGGATGTCTGTTATGAAGATGTACAAAATTGTTAATGAAACTTTTTAAACACTTTTTGTATTATTTTATCAACATTTTTTTTATTTCTGATCTTAATAATTTCCTTACTTTAAAAATAAGTGTCTTTATTCAATTTTTAAGCAAAAAAAACGACACTCCTTAGATTGTAGTTATGTATATATTATGTAAATGTTACGTATGTTTGTGTAAGTATTTCTGTGTGTATCAGTGAGTACAAACATCTCAGCGTGAGTTAGATCTTGGAGTATGCAGTGCAGAACATGTCTGTGTTTTTTGTGTTACCTGACAGACGTCGGAGCGGATGCCGGTCTTCCAGAAGCCCTGACTGCTGAGCTCCACTGTCACCTCGCGGCGCATGGTGTTCTTCTGACGGATCTTCTGAAGAGCTTCCTGCCAAACAATCAGCGAGTCAATTATTGATCAGCTGCGGCCTTCGGGGACAGCTCGCATCCTCAAAAACCCCTCCCCTCACCTCCCCCAACAGAGAAGGGCTGGCAGATGCAACATTGTGAAAGCTCCATAGCATGACATAAATACTGTAGCGCTGTGGACAGGAGCAACAGGGCACTGACAGCTCTGCTGGCCCCGGCTAATTGAGGCACTGCTGTGGGTCAGCATGGCTGTAGGCAGTGGGGGTGGAGGAAGGCTAATATGGAGGCGTCAAGCCCCAGTCGCCAAGAGCCAAGGCACCTGCCTGCCCATTAGGACCCTCACTCAAGAGCAGGAGCAGCAGCTGCAGCAGGAGGAGGAATCATTACAGACACACACATCATGTCAGACCTACAGCAAATAACTGGAAACTCAGTTAGGGAGGGGGCTCTGAGACAAGAGGGTCCTACAAATAACAGTGGAGATGGAAGATGTATTGACAGAGTGCACCTCCTAATGTGTGTGCACACTCACTCGGCTGAGATTTATCGACTGTGCCAGAGTTAGCCGTGATCTGCCTAAAATGGAACGCCAGGAATTCTTTGACTCGCAGAGGAAATAAGAACAACAAAGGGCATGAATAAATAATGCCATCCTACTTTGAACTGCGTATCAAAGTGAACAAGCTCGCCCACGTGCAACATGAGCACGCGCAACCGCACACAGCACAATCTTTTTTTCCGTGGACAGCCAGCCACTGTATATGGAAAGCAGTTATCACAGCGAATGATATGTAAATGCTCTGTTATGCAAGGCTTTCTACAGGGTCATGGAATGGACAGAAGTACAACAAAAGTAAACAATTGTGCAGCGAGGGGAGGAGGCGGAGAGACTAACTTTCTGCAGGGTCAGACAGACGGGGCACGGCTCGTTTGACTTTTATCATCACATCGTTTGGAGGAGAGAAGGAGTGTTTGTGTTTTGGATCAGGTTGAGGTCAAACACCAAAGACACTGTCTGAGATGCACTGCCTGCACAAGGCTGGAGCCATCTGTTGCATGCATGTGTGCTTCCCCTGCTTTCTTGTGCATTTGCATTTTGCCAAAGACAGACCTTTGTTAACTAGGAAAAGATGGTGAATTACTAACTACTACTAATTACTAAGCTACTGTATTTCCCTTTTTCAAAAACTAGTTTGGATTCTCAAAAAACGCTTTGGCTACCTGTATGCTTGAGAATCGGTTTTAAAGTTGTTCCACTTGTTTATGAAGCTATAAATGACTTTGCTTCTCCCTAGATCAGAGATTTGCACTCATTTTATGTTGAGGCACTCCACTGCTTTCTATTTGAAATGAACCTTATGTGTCCCATATAAGTGTGGATGAGAGTGCCTTCTGATTTGATGCCCCTATACTTTGGAACTCACTGCCTCTGGATGGTAGAAAGGTACTGTAAGCTCTCTATAGTTCTTATGTCTGTTTGTTTTAAAGAGTAAATAAAGACCTACCTTCCTTTTAATGAGGCTATCTGTAGTGATGTATGTAGCCTTATTTTATTACAATCATAAGGATAAAAGCTGTGAAAACAATATAAAGTACACTTCTTTTATTACCATTTTGAGAAATTGGCAACCAGTTCCTTACTTTGTCCTTTTTCAATAATGAATCTGATAACTGCACATTTTCTTAAGTCTATAAGGTTACTAAAAATATAATTTCAGTTTGGCAACCAAGAGCTAATTCCTTGAAGTCAATGTTGATCCCTGTCGTGTTAAGTTCTTGTGTGGCCCAGCTGAAGCCCAGAATTGATAGCAATGGAAAATGCGTGGAATTATTCGAAGATATCTTTTTAAAGATGCTCCTCATACAGCTCAACTGAGCTTGGCCAAATCTGCAAGGCAGAATCAGAGAAAATCCCCAAATCCACATATGCCGAGCTGAGAGAGAAGACTCAATGCTGAAGTCACTGCCAAAGAAGTGACGGCCGGGGCTGAATACTTATTCAAATTAGAGATTTGAGATAGTAAAAGTGCCATTCGTTTTCAATACAGTCACACAAATGTTTTACAACATGTGTTCTGCTTGTCCTTATATTGTAAAGACTGTCAACCAAGTGGAATCCAAGCACAACAAAAAATGTGAATTCAATCTTAAAAGGATTGTTTTCTGAAGACAATATCGGTCCGCATGTTTGAAACCCAGTCATGCGTTTGGCTGAGTTTCTTAGCACAAAATCCATCTGGGCAACACACACACTCTTAACGCCACACCCCCTCCGCCCACACACACAACCCTCCCCGCACTCAGCATGGGGTTTGGAAATGGGTGCCCGCTCCCTGGTGTGAAGGCCAGTTCTAGCCAAAACGCACCCCCTCTCTGGAGCTGTGTGTTGTCCACACTGAGCGCACAGGCATCGAAGAGCCGGTTGGAGCAGCACTGCCGTGGAGCGAACACCTCTGACAGGGTGATTCTTAATGGTGGAAAAACGCCTTTTCAGAAGACCATTTACAGAGGAAGCTTGAGTGTTCCCTGGGGCGTTAAATAAGTAGCGATGCCACACGTCCACTGCAACGAGGACACACTGACATGGCTAATGCTTTGTGGTGGAGTCTGATGGGCCCAGGGTGTGTGTGTGTGTGTGTGTGTGTGTGTGTGTGTGTGTGTGTGTGTGTGTGTGTGTGTGTGTGTGTGTGTGTGTGTGTGTGTGTGTGTGTTTGGGATACGCTAATTGCTCCGGTGCAGGTTGACAGTAGGATTGTCGGGGCTTGTTAGCCACAGGGCTTTCGCCGAGGTACCTGGGAAACAAGCTGATTGAGCTCTGAGTTCTTCCTCATTATTGGTTCAGAGTGTATCAAAGCAAGAGGAGCACTTAGAGCTTTCGATAGTGATAAAGCAGTTGGGAAGTTACAGAGGTAACTACCAGAGAGATATGACGGCACAAAGAGCTTGTTCGCAGCTACTTGTGGGCCACACACACACACACACCCCTGCGCGCTGAGACTCCCTGTGGCCACATGGTCATTACCTCACCAAACCTGAACCTTTCTCATTCTCAGTCCCGGGGGGGGGTTTGACCTTAACACTCAACTCAAGAGAGCAGGTACAGCAGTTTTACTCTGAGCTGCACATTCGTCTAAATTATGCATTATTAAAAGTAAGAAAAAGACAAAAGTCAAGGGGGAATATTAATACCTAAAATAAAAACGGGAAAAGATTAGGGCCTCCAGCCGGTTCACGTTCAAATATAATTATTATTGGCTTTAATTCCTTTTGTACGGATGACGATTAGGGCCACGTATATTTCCTCTTTGTTTGGGTTTTTTCAGAATTCTGACTTCATCTCAGAACAGAACAAAATCACTTTTGATCAGATCTAAAAAAATATACATATAATTCTCATGTGGCCCGATCCTCTTCCGTACAGACGTAATTATAGCCAATAATAATGATATTTAAACAGGTGGATGTAAGGACATAAAACCAGCAATTAAGAATGACCGGTGTGTAAATAATAAAGGGGAGATTGTTTCTCGTATCTGCAAAGGCTTGACTGATAAATGTTACATTTTATTACCATCAGAAATACAGTTTCCAACATCAAATAACATGTATATGTATGTACATGGCATTCATGTGCAAATGAATGTTTTCAAAGTAAAGCCCTGGATGCCATATTTAAATATCCCTCTGTAGTGCCATATCCTTTAATGTTTGAATGCAAGGCAGCGTTTTCTACAGAAAAAAACTAGAAAACCAGAAGAACAATGTTGCCTTTGTAAGTCACTTTTCTTTAGTGAAACAGCATCCTTGTTTCTTCCAGGCAATAATTCCGATTAGCAGCGGCGAGTTCCAGATAAGCTGCATTTGAATCGGAGTTCACAGCAGGAATAAAAGAAATAGTTTGGCTCTTGTTTCTGCAGAGAGTGCAAATGCTCCAGCGTAACCTTTCATATCTGCGGGAAATGAGCTCCCAAAACATTTAAATTGAAAGCGTATTGCACCGCGTCCACATAACAAGAGCAGGCCACTTGACAATGTAAAAAATGTGAGCGAGACAAAAGAAGAAAGGGAAATAATATCTTCTTTTTCTTCCTTTCAACCCACCTCTCTCTGCGTCAGCTTCTGCTTGTCGATCTGCTTGACCTTGGGGCTGTTGGCCAGCAGGTGGCGTAGTTTGACGTAGCTCTTCCACAGCTTCTGGTACCTGACAAGAGAGCAGAGAGGGAGGTGTCAGGCTCACAGGAGTCCATCTCCCCCCTCATTCTCACAACACATCAATATTTCATCCGCAGCTTGCCCGACATTAAACATAATTTAACAGTTGCCTGCGGCCGGTATTGCGGGAGTCTGTGTTTCAAATGTGCACTGTTTGAACTGCAAGGAGAGGTCCACGCACAAAGACAGACTAATGAAATGCTCTTCATCTTATTTTATTTTTTCTCGTAAAAAGCTGTAAGTCATGAAACATACGAGTGGCCCCGACGCGTCTCGTAACCTCCTAATTCTCATTTTCTATAAAAACCCCATTGTCTTTGCCCTCATTTGCATCTGAAAGGACCCAGGGAGTTATCGGCAAGGTGACATGTAGCCATCATACTAACCACCTCACCCCCCCCCACTCCACTTCCCTCTCTTTTCAATCAGACCTCCTGATTGATGCACTGAGGGCCGAGTGTGACCGTTCTGCTCCCATTCAGGAGACTTTCTCCTCATTTACCCAGAGTTATTCAATTATGATTGGTGGGATGGAGGGGTGAGGTGCCAGGGGTTTGGGGGATAGGATGGTGCATTGACAGAGAGAAAGGCACAGAGAGGAGAGAGAGGGAAGGGAGCAAGGAAAGGAGGGAAGTGGGGGTGGACCGTGGAATAGAAGAATTATAGAGCTTTAATGGTGGGGACTTCATTAGAGACTGAGACGAGGGAATGAGACGGCTTTACCGCCCCGATTATCAGCTCACCACCACCTCCGCACAGAGGCAGCAAGAGCGGGCGAGAGACAGAGGGGAAGTGAGAGAGAGAGAGAGAGAGAGAGAGAGAGCGAGAGAGAGAGAGACAGAGAGAGAGAGTCTCCCCAGCCTGGGAGGCCTCCTCGTCCCCAATCCGCTCCAATGACCTTTCCGTAGATCCGCTGCGTCTCAGGGTAGCTGCGCCGCCGCTCTCTGCACATGCTTGCATTAGCATATGCTGCTTCTTCCTTTTCTGCCCCCCCCTCCCTCCCCACTCGTCTGTTCTGTGTCCTATCTCGAGTCCTTTTCAGGAATGGTATCTGTAGCATGGCAGGCTTCATCTATCCGCTGGCTTTTAAGCGCTTTAACACAGGTATCTGTTACGTGAACGCGCAGACATTTCTCTACTTAAACTAGCCCTGACTTTTGCAGACAGAACAAATCTATCTATCTGATCATTAGTTCATAGGCCTCTGATGGACAAGAAAGATGAAGACAAAGGAATAACTGAAAACTAGGGATACATTTTTAAAATAGTTTTGAAGTATTTAGGGCCGTTTGGACGCTCATCCCCGGCTTCTTGCTAGACTTTCTTGAGAAATATACAAACGATGTTCTGACTCGTGTTGTTCGTCACTCAAAAAGGTGACGAGCAGAATGAAGTGCGAATGTTTGGAACGGTCCATTCTTTTACGCACAGCAGGGAAAACCTGAAGATAATTTAATTTTCCACCTGAAGTGGACTCACGCAGTTGTTTTCTACTCCTGAAGTGTGTACAATCATGAGGAAAATAGAGAACAACCATTTTGAAAATCACATAAATATTACTTGAACAAGCTACTAGAGTTTAAGACGAAGAAAAACGTCGCGCAGCACTCAGGAAATTAACTACTTCACTGTCTGCAGAGTGCCGATGCGAGAACAAAATAAGTATGTTAATTATGTGCTCAACTTCATGGCTGAGAGAGGAGAGACCCTGCCACTCGGAGGGAATATGTGTGTTCTTGTGTTATGGTGCGTGTTACAGGAATGTAGCTTGCCATTACTTTAACAGAAAGAGACTTATTCAATTAGGCTGACATATTAAACTGACATTACCTTCCTCTCCCCTCCCTCTATGTTTCTCTCTTCCCTCTCTTGCTGGAGTTGCCTGTCCTGTTCTTTTCTTTACATTGCCTGACCTCAGACCTGTCGTCAGCCTTGCCTCAGCTGTCGTGATGGAGCTGGAGATGCTCGAGTAGCGGCCAGTGAGAAGGGGGGAGGAAGACAACACATCTCCTTCAGTCTCCCGAGTTAATATATGCTTCTGCCGAGGCCCAGAGCTTCCTCTCTGTGGCATCACCGCCGCAATCAACACCGACTCCTGCCCTCGCTACACGCATCATTAGCAGTTGTAGGAAATCCTTTTCCACCGGTCGCTTACTACTCGTTTCTGCATCTGCTAATGATGTCCCAGAACGTCCATAAATTTGTCGTCGTCTACCGGCTTTGAGAAGTTTGACATGGCAGCAGGGTGCACAGGGATGAGTGAGCTCGGTGGACACGCAGCTAAAATCTAAGCGGCGGGGGAGAGCGGACATTAGTCGCAAACTAGTTCTGCCTAAATGGATTTCCTAACGACCAGCCTCTTGTTTGTGTCTTCATCAGCTCCACTTCCTGATTGACACTGAACATCCGAGTTGAAAAAGAAAAAGACACAGGTTTAAATTTAGACCGAGTTGTGTTCAGACTTTTGACGCGTTGTTGCCGCATGGTCTCTGAACACCTCGGGGGCCGCGGTGGCTCAGATGATCTAATACACTGCTTTGGTTAATTATGCAGCAGCAAAGTACAGTATTCCCTGCTGCAGCCCTGCGGCGTGTGGCATTACTATTCACCAGACGGCGGGTCCCACGGCGGAGCCACCCAGCGGATGCCCAACCCGTGACGGCGCATGTGAAAATGTCACGCCACTCGTTTTGCTCTTTCTTCTACTCCCTGTGTTTCCATCTATCCATCTCCCCTCCTTTTTGACACTCTTGACGTGCGTCACGAGATATTGCCTTACAGTGTCCGGGGAGAACGACAGTGAATAAGAGGCAGAGGGAAGGAGAGAGATGATACGCAGCAGGTGGGAGATCTGCATTCATCTAGTGTGTGTGTGTGTGTGTGTGTGTGTGTGTGTGTGTGTGTGTGTGTGTGTGTGTGTGTGTGTGTGTGTGTGTGTGTGTTTCTTACTGAGGGTCCCCGGCGTAGCTGAGCTGAGCAGGCCGGATCCCAAAATGCACGATGACGGGGAAGGTGATAACGGCCGGGTTGAACTGCTCCCTGTCCAGTTGGTCGATGCGCACCGAGCTCGGTTTCTAGGGTGAAACAAATCAGAACCAACGTGTGAATATAGCTCCAAGGAAGCCATCAGTTCATTATAAGAAGCTGATACAGGAAATAACAAATATTCAACGCCCCACGGGTCGTGTGTCACAGGACAGCAATGAGACCAGGCCTGGATTCTGCTCGTAGCTGTGGTAAGGTGACGTCAGGGGTGGCAAGCTAACTTCACATATCGGGGAAGAGATTGACAAGCAACATGTCCTCAGCCGGCTCCCAATTCACAGTTAGCCTGTCAGGCGTTTTGCGAGATCAGAGGACGGGGGTTGTAGCATAAGGCGTGATGAGCTGTGCGACAGATGGCTCGAGGCGCGGCTCACCTTGACATTAGCGCAGACTCATCCCGCGGCACGCATACAAACTTTGATTTGAGAGCAAGAGGTCGCCAGCCATCTTTGATTTGGCTTTAGAAAGACATAATCAGGTTTGATTGGCTTTGATGGAAGGGCTTGATGATTGCCCGGGTTACAATGCACACACAAATACACAGTACATCCTCATTTATACATCAAGGCCAAAGAGCATCAGGGATTCTTTAGTAATAATACACTAAAGCTGTTTGAAGGTCGATGACATTGGGCTCATTTGAAGAAATAATTACTTGTCACTTTGACATTAAAGTTGGGGAGTGTGTGCACATGTATAGAGTTAGTAGAAATTGCATTCTATTGATTGTAAAGCACCAACTGTGGTGTTGTTTATTTTCTTATTCTGAACTTTCAAGCAGAATAACCTCGACACTTTTGAGGTTTATGATTATTATGAGATGGAAGAATGTTTGTACAAGAAAAAAGTCCTTTTAAGATAAAAACGTCGGCTTAAAAACATCTCTCTGACATTACTGACTGAATAAATAAATGTTTTTAAGAGGCTATTGGGGTTTTCGGGGGGTTGCCTTTTCCTGTAGTGTGTGGGTTCGTGTGCATGTAAATGGTCAGCCATGACTGAACGTCCAGAGGGAGTTTCTCTAACCATAAAATGGACGATCAAAAAGGACTATTTAAACAATCTAGGGAAGATGGCCACTGATGACCAAAGTTTCCACCACACAAGGCAAGTCTCTATATGTGACCTTTTTAAAGGACTTTGTTTGACTGACAGACTAATCTTCAACATTAGTCTGGGGATTGAAGACTATTATCCTCCCACCTATCTGGAAACCCGACAGCAACAATTCAGTCCTGCCAGGAAGAGCAGTTGACTCAATAACTCACCCACGCCAAAGGTTATACAATCATATCTACTGTTCATATGCAACGCTTTAGCTAGCAATGACATCTTCACCTTTTCCCCCAGACACAATTACTGCACATCCTTTCAAAAAATATGGGCCAGACAAGAAGGTTAACCAACTTCATCGTGACATAAAAGCCAGGGCCCGAATAATGTTGGTGACAGCAAACGCCCTTGGGGGGGGGGGATAATAGGTGGGGTTGCTCATGTCACAGGCGAACAGGAACAGCCTTAGTCCTGCAGTGTCGGGGTTGG